TAAGGCCACAGATAAACACTAAACATGTCCAAGAAGCATAGTGGACTGCCGTGTGTAACTCTGGGAGACTAGGAAAGTGTAAGGGACCTAGAGGGGTTACCAGGTGATACCAGGAATGTTTTCCTTTGGAGAGAATTATGATCAGTTGGGCAACCTCCAAAGACACTCTGGTTTCTTAAATTTTGCCACGGCTAGTCATTTGGAGTGCTGGTGTGGCCCTGTGGGCTAATGCGTCACCCTGCAAAGTCGTTTGAACTGCAAGGTCAGTGTTTCAAGCTCACCAGCTGCTCCTTGGAAACCCTATACAGGGTCGCTATGGGTTGGAATCGACTCGACGGCACTTAACAACAACAACAATGATGGGTAAATTTCAGGCTTAGATTTCACTTTTCCTGGCTTGGGAAAATTCCTTTGGGCCTCAGTCACCTCATCTGTAAAATGGGGACCAATACCATAATGCTGAAAAGACTGGTTCTTAAAAACACATTTAGCATAGTGCCTAATACGCACTAGGGAAACGACAGCTGCTATCGTTATTGTTATCATCATTGTTGATATTTTTTAAATTACCACTCATCTTTTGGATAGTAAATGCCAACATTTCCTCCAAACTTCATAAAATGAATTGTTATTAAAATGCTCCCGATAGTTCCAAAATATTTGGTGTGTGTAGGAGGTTTTGTTTGTTTGTTTTTTTAAGTAAACATCTCCAAAAATAGACAATGGACAAATATACATATACTCAACTTAATATTCAACACTATTACTGTCCAAAAAAGAGTCAATCTAGTTGGTCTAACTCATGGCAGCCCCCTAGGACAGAGTAGAACCATTCCTTAGAGTTTCTGAGACTTATAAATCTTTATGGGAGCAGACAGCCTCCTCTTTCTCCCACGGAGCAACTGGTGGGTTTCAAATGACTGAATTTTCAATTAGAAGCCCACTGCCTAACCCACTGACCCACCAGGGCTCCATTCCTGCTAAATAAATAATTCATCAATCACAGAAGCATATTTTAAACTCTACTCATAGAAGCATGCATCGCATTTGTTTTAAGAACATTGAAACTCGAGGCATATTAGACATAAACGTTCTCTGCAAGCAACCAGAAGAGTATAAAGAAGCATAAACAAATACTCACAAGGATTTTCATTTTGCCTGTGGGGAGGAAGAGCAAGTTGGAGTAAATGAAGCTGCCCAGCACAGTGCCTACCCTTTATACTGGCTTCAAGGTGTGGAAATCTCTCCTTGAAACTATCACTTTAGAAAAGGCCTTGTGCGTGTCACTGACACACCCGGCAAACTCCTTTATCAGGATGGAGACCCAGCCACAAAACTTGCTATCAATGAAGCGCATTAGTCAGGAAATTTACCACTTGGTCACTCTGCAAATAGTCCATGCTTATCTGTTCTGTTTCACTTGAGATTTCAAATTCCACCCTTTCAAAATAGTTCAAGGTGTTCATTCTTTACATATATTCTTCTAGATGTATGAATTTATATTCCAGAGATCTCCTCATATTGGTAAAATTCTCCTGGAAGATCTGAGTTTTACTTCCATCCTATATCATTTCATCACTGTCCTGCTTGTGAAGTTCTTCCACCCAGAGAACAGACATGAGACTAGAGGTGAAGAAGGTACCTTAAGAACAAACAATCTTAGAGTTTTATTTCTCCACCACTTTGGAGATGATGCAAAATTCCAGAGACTGATAAGGAACAAAATTCATAGGACACTCTGTCCAATTACAGGGGTTAGCCAGTTCATGGAAACCAAGAATTAAAATATTTCTAGCTATCTTGAGAACTGCTGAGAAATTATCAAATTAAGAAAAGTGGGAGAATACAATTTAATTCAAGCAATTTTTATAATACCATAATTGTCCTTGTTATGTGTTATCAAGACTGTTCTGACTCATAGTGACCCTATGTAGAGTTTTCGAGGAGTAGCTGGTGGGTTTGAATGGCCAACCTTGCAGTTAGCAGTCCAGTGTTTATCCTATAGCACCATACACGACCTCCAAAAATAGAAATAGCGAAGTAGTGTTGGAGTCTTGGTGTGGTGCTGTAGGATAAGCACTGGGCCACAAAGTCAGTTTAAACGGAAAGGTTGGCACTTCACACTCACCTGCTACTCCTTGGAAACCCAATACAAGCTTGCTATGAGTTGGAACCAACTGGATGGCACTTAACAACAATGAGACTAAGACAAGTGTATTCTGGAGAGAATTTGTCTATAGCCGATGTTTCATTTGGAATCAACCTGTGCGTGTATGGAAAACTTTGTAGTAGTAAACTTTGAACTTACCATGGTAATCTTGGATTAGTGTGATGATTCTTAGTCTTCTACAATTTTGCAATTTACTGATGCTGCATATTAATTAATTAATTTATTTATTTTCCCTGCCTTCTGAGTTCAGATACCATCCTAACACTTGTTGTTAAGTATTCTTGAGGTGGTTCCAACTCATAGCGACCTTGTATAGGGTTTCTGAGGTTTTACATCTTTACAGGAGCAGAAAGCCTCAACTTTCTCCCTTGGAGTGACTGGAAGGCTTGATCTGTGGATCTTTTGGTTCACAGTCCTGCACTCCCTTAGCCTCATTAGAGTGCCTTCAGAAATAATGTCCAATCAAAACAGTGGCTTTCAAAGGCATCTGCTAGACCAGTTGAATTCAAAGCAAAGAGATCAGTTGAAAAGGTTATGGTGACTGTTTGGGGGGAAACTCCAAAGTGGTCATCTTGACAAATATTCTCAAAGTACACAGGACAACCATGGGGACTTAGGGAAATTTTAAAGAAAATTTAAAACTTCACTGGTGAACAAAAGGCCTAGAGAGTAGTGCCGAAGAATTTTTTCCTATCACAACAATGCACCTGCTCATTCTCCAAGGGTAACAAGGGCTTTCCTGTGAGAATTTCATTGGGAAACCTTACCCCATTCACCCTAGGCCCTGATCTTGCCCCTGCAGACTTCTTTTTGTTACCCAAATTCAAAGATCATTTGAAAGGAACACAATTTGAGGTCCTCAAGGTTGCCCAAACTGCCATGTGACATGGTGTAAATTGAAGAGTTCAGAATTCTTCAAGGAAGGGTTAGAGACACTTCATTCAGATGTATATAGACCTGGATGGAAGATATATTGAGAAACAATGGCTTCACATTTTGATATTTTTGTTTAATAAAGGGTTCTATGATTTTGTAACAAT